AATCCTCTAAAACGACGCATACAACGACGGTCGAGGCGATCGTTGCTCTTATCCTCTGCTCTGTAAATCATGTTGAAATCCCCACATAGCACCCAAGGTCCATCAGTCGTCATCTTGGACTGACGAAGTTCGTCCAGGAACTCGACCTTTTCCTGGTCCGCCTGTGGCCCATAGACCACTGTCAGCCACCAGTAGTCCTGCGGTGTCGCTGTGTTGGCCACCTTAGCCGATAAGAAGAAGCGACGCTTATCCACCTGGGAAACCACCCATTGATCTCGCTGCCAGCCAAATAAGACCCCCCGACTACATTAGCAGACGATATATAGTCATAGTCGAACATAGATCCTAGTATTTCATTAGCCAGTGAGTTACAAATGACGGAGAGCTTAGTCTCATGTAGACACACGAGAGAAACACGCTCCTGGGTCACTAGGTCTCTAACGACATTGCGACGGGCACGGCCATTCAGCCCACGCACATTCCAAACACAGCAGTTGTATGATAACATTGAGAAACAAAGGGCGCGACTGAGAAAGGTCCCAGGCACCACTACAGCGCCTCCCCCTCCAACTCGGCCAAGTTGAGATTCATGGCCACGGGATCAAAATCAGGCGCGGCAAGCATCTGCAGTGCCTCCAGCTTCGACGGAGTCAACGGTTTTGCGAAGGTCGCCAAATACTTCTCGAATGCCTCCAAATCCGCCGGCGGGAGATTATCCACCAGTCCGAGCTTCTGCATTAGGACAGATTGTGCCTGCAGCGTGGCGTTGGCCACCCGCGGCTTGGCCGCAAGACGACGACTCCTCCTGATAGACAGCACTATTGCCGGCGTCCTCGACTTGCGTAGCTTCGGCCCCGCCTTAATGATAGGCGAGTCCAGGGGGATGCATACCCGAGCCACAATTTTGGCCTGCCGCGCCGCAGCGGACGTTCGAAGCGTCTCGTCCGCCCGCGCGGTGACATTGGACGTTCCCAGTGCTGCGGACGCAGTTACAGCGACCGGCGAACCCAACGTCGACCCCGGACCGGCGCGCTCAGGTTCCATGAGCTCCAGCTGCATGAGTTCCCAAAACATCGGGTCCGCTCGTTCCGTCCCGTTCGCCGGACAGCGGAACACCGGCCCACATTCCTGAATGGGCCTCCGAAGGACCCTTTCCCCTCTCAGTCCTGGGCTAGCATCGATGCAGTTTTTCAATTCTTGTGGGCCGCTCCCTTGGGCCGATCGGTGCGGCACCAGATCAGGGGAGCACAGGTCGATCCAGCGCCGGTTCGTCTGGTACGGGGTCCCTAACCCCGCCTCCAACTCCATCGGGTCCACACGGGGTGGAAGGGCCCCGAACCCATCTTCGGTCGCTGGAGCGACGAAGTCCTGTGCAGCGAGCGTCTGGCACCGGTCTGAAAAGTCTGTCTCACAGCTTTCGACGTTGACAGCTGGGGCAGTGTCACGCCCCGATGGGACGTCCGGGATCCCGCGGCGTGAGCCCACCCGAATCACGCCATGTCCATAGCTTCCGGGCCCAGCACCCATGAGGCAGCCACCTCGCAGCGGGCAGGGTACCGAGCCCACCACCAACGACCTGAGAGAGGCCTCCGTGGCCCCACCGACCAGCGACTCGGAAGGGCCGCCCACACTGGGGAAGACGACACGGCCGTACCCCGGCGACGTCCCGCCACGGCAGCAGTCGAAACCCGGGTGAAAACGATTGCAGTTACTGTCGCCGGAGCCGTCATCGTCATCAGATGGATCGCCGAAATCAGTAGGGGACCTCCGCCGGCGATATGAGGTGGATGTTCATTCAATTCGGCGCCAAACTCTACCTGTCGCTCTTCAGCCTCCGCCCCCACCTGGAAGAATTTTATTTGTCGCCTATCGATTGGTTAACAAATTCATGTTCTACCAAGTACCAAGAGAAAATTTAATTGCTTGTTGATTAACATTGGCTAGGGTGTGACACTTTACCACTGACTGCATGCTCCCGCGTTCGGCCGTCGTACCTGCTGTTTTCCCTGACCAACGACGAAATCACCGCAAGATGTAGCGAAATTCAGACGACCGAAATGGCGGTCTGTCGTACGGCACCGCCCGTGTACTCCAGACACGTACGTACCCAGTAGGCGCGGCGGTGAAGCCGACGACACCGGAGGAGAGGTCGGACCACTGTATCCGCCGGAGTAGTCGATGACGCCCCAGTGGTATAGAGGAAGCCGCCTCCCCAGAGGCTGAACGGGTAGACGGTGTAGGAGAGGAGGAGCAGCCACAGGCCCACAGGCCACAGCGACGTGAACGACATCCACGCTCTGATGTTCATGCGCCCCAGGAGCGAACCGGACGGCACCGGCAGCGCCACTGCACCAGCGCGCGCGATGGCGGTCAACTCAAACTCCAACAGCACCAGCGACGCCGACTCTGGGTAGTGCGGCTTTGTGCTTGACTCCACGCTTTGTGCACCGAGAACGCCGTAGCGCGCCGTGGCGGGGAACGACGGGCGCACGTCGAAGAAACCCTCGGGCAGGATGACCACGAGCGTCGCCGCGGACGCGTTGTCGCCCTTGTTTAATTAGCCACGCCGCCGGCACCGCCGGGAGGTCGGCCGTGTAGGCGCCTGTCTGAAGAGGCGTGGCCATTCATGCGTCCGGTGGCACACGGTATCACCCGATGAAAATTCTCGGGAGCCGCGGCGTGACGCAGGTGCGCACCGTGACGCGGCTCCATGCCCGTGAGCGGTGATCTTTTTCTCAAATCGACAATCATCTAGGTTTCTGTCGTGTATCATGCTGTTCTCCTTGCAATTATTTTGCATTTTTAATCCAACTTTTACGGTACACACGAATGAATAAATGATTTACAAGGTCCTATGTGCACACGGGCACGCACAAAATCATTAGTATCATCTAAAGGGGTATAGGTTCAAGAATGGTTCAAAAGTCATGATTATATCTTTATTTTGTTCAATGTCCACAACAATTCTGCGACGATGACGTCCATTTGCAGCAGATTTGACGAAAGAAAGCAGGTAATTCCAACTCACTCTAAATTAACGGTGTTGTAATCTTGTTCGGCCTGATGATCAGTGCATGATTGAACGAATTAACGTCAAAAAGAAAGAGTCTGTCTACTGCACAACCATGTGTTTTATATAGTTTCAACACATGATTTTTTTTGCACCATAGGATTAAGATCCAACAGCCTTCACCCTTCTTCTACCTCCAACCTCCACAAATCACAGATCACATATTATAAATTTTTTTTCTATGGAAGGACAAATCACAGATCCGCCGCCGTCGCCACCGCCACTGCCATGTCCATGGCCGGCGTGGGCGCGGGCGCCGGGGCGTGGGCGTGGGCGCCGGGGCAAGCTCACCGGTCACCGTCGCCAGCGCCGGTGGTCACCAGTGAGAAAGAGAGAGAGAAAAAGTCTATGTGTGTTTTTAGTGCTAAAACACATGTGTGTTGTATGACATTTTTTAAAAGAAAAACTCACCGTAGCTATCTCAAATAGACAGTACTAGTACTTATACTTGCCATAGCTCTTTATTTGCTGGATCTACGTATAATATAACCCAACAACGGATCCGGGATCAGCAGTAACAGTGGCACTTGTGGTGACCACTGCGGAACTTGCACTCGCTGCCGCGGCAGGATGTCTGGCACCACAAGAGTTGCAGGCACTGTTCTGATCCGAAGAGCACCCGTTCATCTGGTTCGGCGAGCCCCATGAAAGATGGTCGTTGCAGCACATAGGATTGGACGAGGCTGCAGCAATACACATATATCACATGGACAAGAAACAAAGCATGCATTCGCTAGCTATTAGTTCTAAACAAAACAGACAAACGATGGCATTATAGAGCCGTAGCTGCTGAGAGAATAAGACGTGTCATCGTCATCGTCATCGTCAAATTACCTGCCGAGGCAACAAGAAAGAGAAAGGCGAGCACGATGAGCACAACTACGGCACCTGTACGCTCCATGTTCCTCTGTATAAGAATTTCTTTACGAGCTAGCAGAAAATATTTTGATCTCAATCGATGATGTTATAGTTCGTCTTTGGGTGCCTACGGCTATTTATACCTGGAGACTGCATGCCTTTGATTCTGCAGTGTCCAAATTATGTAAATTAATGTTGTTATTATTTACTATATTATGGAAGTTAAATCGTTTCCTATACTATTTTTTGATCGATTTTAGTTCCAAATTGTTTCAAAAATAAATGCATTCCAAACCAACGTACAGGACGTATGCAAAGGAGGCCGGTTTTCAAAGTTCACCTGGAGGCGGTTAGTGAAAAATTTTCAGGGACAGTACGTGAGCCGCATGAACGGGACGGTGAAAACTGAGAAGCGCGGCCTGCTGTCGGTCAACTTGGGAAGCCAAGGGGTCCATATTCTTTAGCATCTGTATCAAATTACTTCCTCCATCCTAAATTATAAGTCATTCTAAAAATTTTGGAGAGTCAAAGCATCTCAAGTTTGACTAAATTTATATGATAAAATAATAACATTTATGATATCAACTAAGTATCTAGATTTCTCATTAGTTATATTTTCATAGTATACTTAATTGATGCCATAAATCTTTATAATTTTTTCTATAATTTTGGTCAAACTTGAGATTCTTTGACTCTCCAAGATTCTTGGAATATCTTATAATTTGGAACGGATGAAGTACTAGTTAGTGAGTAGTGAGTACAGTAGCAATTTAGCATTTTAACGTTGGACTTTCAGTTTTGCCTGAAAAACAGCTCTGAATCTCTGATGAGTTGTTTAAGCAAAGTAGTCACACTTGAAGATAGCCACATTAGCACTGCACCATAAGAAGAAAGGACACCGGTGATTATCAAAGTTGAGTTCATTCGAAGATCGAAACAAACTAATCTAATCATCAGGAAAAGAAATTGCGACGACATACATCAGCTAACACTGAACATCAAAGACTTAAGAAACAAGCACGTCGTAGATTAGAGAGCCTATGCCCACTGGCCAGTCAAGCAACGGGAGGAGCTACAGCTGAATGGTGACACCTCTGGCACCCATGCTGGTCAGTCGCTGCTCCACCGTGTCCTCCCTCGGGGCGCCGGAGGCACCGCCGGTCCTCGTCGTGTCCGGGCGCGTCACGTCGAACTTCTCGCCGTTGCCCAAGAGCGCGTAGGCCTCCTCGCCGTGCGCCGCGTCGTCGCCGATCATGAGCTGGTCGTCGGGCATGCGGAGCGGGATGAAGAGGCCGATGCACAAGAGGATGACGCTGGTGACCACCAGGTTCCAGACGGTGACGAAGAGCGCGCCACCGAGCTGCTTGACCATCTGCGCGATTCCGCCGCCGTAGAAGACGCCGCGCGCGCCTGGGACGAGGGAGTCGGGGGCGCAGAGCTCCAGGGTGGCGAGGAGGCCCGTGATGATGTTAGATAATTAGGCACTTTCATTATCAGTTTAATCCAGAAATATAACATCAGCAGGTTTGTGACGACATATATGTGCATGTGTATATTTCTAACGAATGCTACATCATGCTGATATGACATACAGATCGATACAGTAAGAATACAAAATACAGTAATCACAGAGATTAGACTGTACCCAGCGGAGGGTCCCATGCCGAGAGCATTGGAGGTTCCATTAGCACTAGTCGACATAGTGCGTTGCTCGAAGTCGCGGACCACAGTCGATGCAGAACGAGATTCGCAGTGCAGTCCCACGAACGGATCACCAGAAAGAAGACGCATTGATGTTCCGCAGACAATCACTGGGAAGAAGACGGGATCAAGAGCGATCACCACCAGGAAGAAGACGTACGAGGATGAGCAGTCATGGATCGCTCCCCAAAAACCTAATCGTCGCTCACCCTATGCAGGGTTCTCAGGCGGACGAGGGTTCTGGAGGCACCTGATCTTCCGCTCCTCCGTGCGCGCAGAGGTACGGAGACGGGGAAGCCAGAAAGCTGCTGAGATATGGTTTCTCTCGGGAGTGGTTGCGGAAGACGGAGATCTGGACTGACGGAGGACTCGAATATATGGGTGTGACGGGAAGGGAGAGAGGCAGCGGAGAATCCCAGGAGACGGAGAAGCGAAAGCGAAAAGGACGGTAACTGACGCAATCAGTTCGCCTCCACCATTCAAGGGAGTAACTCCCGGGATTATGTGGATTAAGTGGCAAAAGACTGGCCACGCCTGCTCGCTCGCCGCCTGCCTGCCTGCCTCGCCACGCCATGGCCCGGCCCGGCCGGCAGCGGCGGCGCACACGCGTGTGTGGCACGTCTTTGTCCTTTTCTCAGCTTCTCAATTTAGATGAATAATTTCCAACCATATAAGCTGAGTCAACGTTCAGTCAAAATCCCGTATGGTATTAAACTATACAACGTTTAATGTTATGTACCATATAGTTTTATTTGATTTATTAAATATTATATGGGTCAAGTCTATATTATATCCAACAATCTCCACCAAACTCTAGGGTTTATAACAAAGTAATGTCAGAACCACATTTCTTTTATATACCAGTGTTTCGATGGAGACTGTTAAGTTGAACATCCATCTAAAGCTATAGTTTCATTCAGTCACAACTGAACAATAGACTAAGCCTTGAATTGCCAGTTTTGTGTGAGGTGAATGTCACTAAAGTCCTTAGTTGATACTTGGCTGCAAAAGGCATCCCCTCTATTTGAAGCATATAAGTCATACTCTAGTGCCTTTCATGAGTATTTAGAGATCACCCAACTCTCATAGACTGTGACCAGCAGTCTGACTCATATAGGTGTGCTCCTCAAAAGATGTTCTGTAGAACAACATCTTTGATTTAGCAAGCCGCTTGGAACACATTAAGGTAAAAACCAATCTGCCTTACAAATAGGAAAGATGTACATCAGAAATGAGTCTTACTAAGGATCTTTCCTCACAATTTACAACTAGATTGTTTCACCATTCTACTTCACGGGATCTCCGATCACATAGAACAGGTTACCACTATAGTAAATTTCAAGTGGGTCTCAAACCCATATCTCTCGATGCACTTTCTATCACATTACGTGACAGACCCTTAGTGAATTGATCTGCCAGATTGTTAGACGTGTGAACATAGTCTAACGCTATTACTCTGGAGTTTCTCAATTTCTTGATAGATTTTAATCGTCTCTTTACATGCCCTGTGGACTTCATGTTGTCCTTAGAACCGTTAACCTTCGTAATCACAGTCTGGTTATCATAGCTCATAGAAATAGCCGGTATGGGTTTCTCGACAACCGGTAAATCCATAAGGAGATCACGAAGCCACTCGGCCTCAGAGCCAGCGATGTCTAATGCTGTGAGTTCTGCTTCCATTGTAGACTTCGTTAAGATAGTCTGCTTGCAAGACTTCCAGGAAATAACGCACCTTCAAGCGAAAACACATATCCACTTGTGGCATAAAGCTCATCAGCATCAGAGATCCAGTTGGCATCACAATAGCCTTCCAACACTTTAGAATGTCCGGTATAACAAATACCGTAGCTCATGGTGCCTTTTAGATAGCGCATCACTCTCTCAAGAGCACGCCAATGATCATCTCCTGGGTTTGACACAAACCGGCTCAGCTTGCACACAGCAAATGAGATGTCAGGCCTTGTTGCACTAGCAAGATACATGAGCGAACCAATGATCTGGGAATATCTCAACTGATCCCTTGCTATTCTCCGATTTTTCCTCAATAGCACACTAGGGTCATAAGGTGTAGGAGCAGGTGCACAGTCGCTAAACCCAAAGTGACTTAGGACCTTTTCCACATAGTGGGATTGTAACAGAGTTACCCCACCATCACTTTCTCTCAGAAGCTTGATATTAAGAATAACATCAGCCTCTCCCAAATCTTTCATCTCAAAATTATTGGTTAAAAAATCATTCACCTCCTCGATCACTTTGAGGCTGGATCCAATGATCAGTATGTCATCAATATATAAGCACAAAATGACTCCTTCACCCCCACCATACCGATGGTACACATATTTGTTAGCTTCATTCACAACAAAGCCAGCAGATGTTAAAGTTCTATCGAACTTCTCATGCCACTGCTTAGGAGCTTGTTTCAGGCCATATAATGACTTTAATAATTTACACACCTTGCCTTCTTGACCATTTGCTACAAATCCATCCGGCTGATCCATATAGATCTCATCCTCTAAATCTCCATTTAGGAAAGCTGTCTTAACGTCCATTTGATGAACGATAAGACCATAAGAGGTTGCTTGGGAAAGCAAAACTCGTATTGTGGTCGATCGGGCAACCGATGAATAAGTATCAAAGAAATCCTCACCTTCCTTTTGAGTATAACCTTTGGCCACAAGTCTTGCCTTGTACCTCTCGATACTACCATCAGGCCTAAGCTTTTTCTTGAACACCCATTTGCACCCTATAGGCTTGCACCTATAGGGTCGATCAATAATTTCCCAAGTTCCATTAGACATAACAGAATCCATCTCACTCTGTACTGCTTCCTTCCATAAGTCAGCATCAGAAGAGGAATATGTCTCTTCAATGGTCGTTGGTGTGTCATCCACAAGGTACACAATATAAGTCATCACCAAAAGACTTTGCAGTCCTTTGCCTCTTACTTTTCCTTATGACTATAGTGTCATCCTCCTCAGGATTTAGCATGTAGGGTTTCTCAATTTGTTCTATCGGAGTAAAGTTTTCATGCTCATGGGGAATTATAAATTAATGACTAGTCGTGCTAGGTGCATTTTTTATGGGGAACTCATTCTAAAAAAATATAGCGTCTCTAGGTTTCATGATTGTATCAACAGCCATATCAGAAACACTAGAGATTATGATTAAAAATCTATAATCCACGCTGTGAATAGCATAACCAAGAAAAACACAATCAACAGTCTTAGGTCCAAGATTTCGCTTTTAGTTTATTGGCACATTCACCTTTGCCAAACAACCCCAAGTTCACAGGTAAGAGAGATTTAATCTCTTCTTCTCCTATTCCTCGAATGGTGTAATTTCTTTGTTCTTTGTGGGCACTCTATTCAGGATATGACATGCTGTCAATATAGCTTCACCCCTCCATTCCTTAGATAGTCCCGCAGTCTCTAACATGGCATTAACCAAATCAGTTAGAGTGCGATTCTTTCTCTCTACAATCCCATTGGACTGTGGTGAGTATGGTGGCATCCTCTCATGAATAATTCCATGCACCGTTCAAAACTCAGAAAATTCATTTGAGAAATATTCTTCCCCGCGATCGGACCGCAAACGTTTGATTTTCTTCTCAAGTTGATTTTCTACCTAAGCTTTATAGACTTTAAAATAATGCAACGCTTCATCTTTAGTTTTCAATAAATACACGTAGCAAAATCTAGTACAATCATCTATAAATGTCATGAAGTATCGTCTACCGTATTTAGTCAATTCGCCATTCATTTCACATAAATCAGAACGAACGAGTTCTAATGGTGCCAAGTTTCTCGCCTCAGCAGCCTTGTGAGGCTTGCACGATTGCTTCGATTGCACACATAAATGGCACTTAGAATCTTTGACTAAGTTAAATTTTGGGATTAAATTCAGATTTGCAAGCCACGTGAGACAACCAAAATTAATGTGACAAAGTCGTGAATGCCAAATATTCGACTCATCCGAAACATTAACATTGTTCATCACTTTATTACACACATCATCAAGCAAAGATAAGCGGAACAAGCCTAATCATAACCTTTTCCAACAAATGTTCCATGTCTCGACACAACACATTTATTGGACTCAAGCATAATTTTAAAGTCATCGCGACATATCTGAGAAGCGCTAACAAGATTCTTCTTGATGGAGGGGACATGCTGCACGTTCTTTAATAGCACTGTCTTTCCCGAAGTAAACTTCAGAACGACCGTACCAGCACCAAGAACACGCGCATGCGAATTGTTTCCCATCAGCATGGCTCCAGTCATGCCGGCCTGATAGGAAGTAAACAAAGAAACATCAGCACACACATGAATATTAGCGTCGTTGTCCATCCACCACTCAAGTGAAAGACAAACTAAGAGAACAAGAGGTAAAGAATTACCATATTCAGATGTTCCTCCTCTAGTCTCGCTAATCACCACGTTTGCTGATTTCTTTTCTTACTTATATTTGCGGTCTGGGCACGCACTTGCCTAATGCTCATCACTCCTGCAAACAAAGCAACCTCCACCTTTATTGTTGTTTTTCTTCTTGAACTGTGCAGTTTGCTTAGGCTTTGTATTGTTGTTCTCTTGCATGTTCTTCTTCTTTTTATTACGAGATGCAAATTAGTTTTTCTGCTGCACCATATTAGCGGCGGAAGACTCAACTCCTTTTCCACGGTTGTCTTTTGCTCTCGCCCTCTCCTTAACATCAAGAGATCCAATAAGCTCAGCCACGCTAAACTCTTGTCTCTTGTGTTTTAGAGCAGTAGCAAAATCCCTCTAAGAAGGTGGCAGCTTAGCGATTATATCGCCGGCCACAAACTTGTCGGGCAATAAATATGAGAAATGTTCTAGTTCCTTTGCTAGCGCCTGTATCTCATGAGCCTGTTCGACCACAGAACGGTTTTCAACCATTTTGTAGTCATACAGCTGCTGCATAAGGTACAGCTCACTGCCAGTGTCAGAAACTCCAAACTTTGCCTCAAGAACATCTCATAACTCTTTGTCTGATGTGCAAGATATGTAGTTTTTCTCATACATGGGATGAAGTGCACTGATCACGGCGCCTCGAAATAGGTTATCGGTAGCCAAGAACTTTTTCTCTTCCTTAGGAGTAAACTGTTCAGGCTTTCCCTGTGCGGCGTGATAGCAGTTCCTCGCAGTCAACCACAATACCATCTTGGCACGCCATATCATGAAATTCTTGCCATCAAAATTATTTGACTTCAAAGCAGCAGCAAAATTACTGATAAAAAATTGCCTAACATTAGGTTTATGGATTGTTAGATAATTAGGCACTTTCATTATCAGTTTAATCCAGAAATATAACATCAGCAGGTTCGTGACGGCATATATGTGCATGTGTATATTTCTAACGAATGCTACAGCATGCTGATATGACATACAGATCGATACAGTAAGAATACAAAATACAGTAATCACAGAGATTAGACTATACCCAGCGGAGGGTCCCATGCCGAGGGCATCGGAGGCTCCATTCGCACTAGCCGACATAGTGCGTTGCTCGAAGTCGCGGACCACAGTCGATGCGAGGTTCGTAGTGCAGTCCCACGAACGGATCACCAGGAAGAAGACGCCTTGATGTTCCGCAGACAATCACCGAGAAGAAGACGGGATCCAAGAGCGATCACCACCAGGAAGAAAACGTATTAGGACGAGCAGTCACGGATCGCTCCCCAAAAACCTAATCGCCGCTCACCCCGTGCAGGGTTCTCAGACGGACGATGGTTCCGGAGGCACCTGCTCTCCCGCACCTCCGCGCGCGCAGAGGTACGGGGACGGGGAAGCCAGTCTCGGGAGTGGTTGCGGAAGACGGAGATCTGGACTAACGGAGGACTCGAATATATGCCCGTGCAGGGTTCTCAGGCGAACGAGGGTTCCGGATGCACCTGCTCTCCCGCTCCTCCGCGCGCAGCAGAGGTACGGGGACGGGGAAGCCAATCTCGGGAGTGGTTGCGAAAGACTGAGATCTGGACTAACGGAGGACTCGGATATATGGTTGCGACGGGAAGGGAGAGAGGCAGCGGAGAATCCCAGGAGACGGAGAAGCGGAAGCGAAAAGGACGGTAACTGACGCAATCAGTTCGCCTCCACCATCCAAGGAAGTAACCCCGGGATTATGTGGATTAAGTGGCAAAAGACTGGCCACGCCCGCTCGCTCGCTGCCCGCCACGGCCCGGCCCGGCCCACGGCCACGGCCCGGCCGGCGGCGGCGGCGGCGCGCACGTGGCACGTCTTTGTCCTTTTCTCAGCTTCTCAATTTAAATGAATAATTTCCAACCATATAAGCTGAGTCAACGTTTAGTCAAAATCATGTATGATATTAAATCATACAACGTTTAATGTTACGTACTATAGAATTTTATTTAATTTATTAAATATTATATACGCCCAGCCCATATTATATCCAGGAGGCCGCCCCGAGCACGCCCGCGACGGCGTGGGTGTGGAACACGGCCAGGGTGTCGTCTACCTTCATGAGCAGGGAGGATTTCTTGTGCAGGATCATCATCGTGAACCACGGGACGCTGCCCGCGAACGCGCCCATCAGCATCGCCGACCACGTGTGCACCAGCCCTGCGCCATGCAAACCAAAATGGCATCATCATGCGCATGTGTTGCTCAGTGAATTGTTTCGAGATGAAATCGAGAGGCTCGTTACCTGCGCCCGGCGTGATGCAGACAAGCCCGGTCATCATGCCCTGCACGGCGACCGAGGGCTTTGCCGAAGAAGATGACGTCGAGGCAGGTCCAGGAGAGGAGGCTCGTCGCGGCGCTAACGTTGGTGTTGAGCACGGCGACAGACGCGGTTATGTTGGGGGCGTACGGCGCTCCACCGTTGAACCCGGCCCATCCGAGCCAGAGCAGCCCCCCGCCGGCGATCATGAGAAGGATATTGTTCGGCGAGAACCTCTCCCTGTCGCTCTTCAGTCTCGGGCCCACCTGTCAGCATCACGTTGTTGTTATGTTATATATGGTGGTATATGCTCGTATTGCGGTTACATATTAACGTGGGAATGGGATTTACCCAGTATGCGGCGGTGAAGCCTGCAATGCCGGAGGAGAGGTGGATGACGTATCCGCCGGAGTAGTCGATGACGCCCCACTGGTAGAGGAAGCCGCCGCCCCATAGGCTGAACGCGCCGACGGTGTGTAGGAGAAGAGCAGCCACAGCGGCGTGAATGCCATCCACGCTCTGATGTTCATGCGCCCGAGGAGCGATCCGGCGAGCAGCACCAGCGTGATGGCCGCGAACTCGAACTCGAACTCGAACAGCACCAGCGACGCCTGCGCGTAGTAGGGCTCGGTGCGCGGCGTCTCCAGCGCGCCGCCGCGGCCGTAGTGCGCCGTGGCCGGGAAGACTGCGCGGCGCACCAGGAAGTCTTACGTCAGCGCAGGCCCCGCCTTGGCCCAGAACGGCAGCATGCGCTCGCCGAACGCCATGCGGAAGCCGACGAGCACCCAGACGATGAGCGTGGACGCGTACGCATACATCGCCATGAAGGCGGAGTTGACGGCCCACTTCTTCTTGACGATGCTGCCGTAGAGCACGACCAGCCCCGGCATGGACTGGAGGCCCACGAACGTGGCCGCCACCATCTGCCACGCGTTGTCGCCCTTGTTCAGCCACGCCGGCACCACCGGTAGGTCGGGCATGTACGGGCCGGGATCCGGTGGCGATGCCATTCCGGTGGACGCGACGTGCATTTGCCTAGTGTTTGAGCGAGCTTCAAAGGAGTACGTAACAACGGCGCGCGAAGTGGCTGATAACTGGAGATAGGCGTTTAATAGCCATCGGTTCCAAGCTGAGATGGCGAATTTTGGGCTAATCTAGTGCAGGTTGAGTTTGATAAAGTTTCGGCCAGCTTGGAGGCGAGCTCGTTAGATGTGATGCGCGCGCGAATCCACATCCACTTGTGGTGGGGACGAAATGTGGGGAACCGCAGCCGGTTCCGGGTCAAACCTGGCAGCTCTAACTGGTGGATCATTTTCTTCCTCAATTTTTTTGGGACATTTTCTCCTGTGACTCCGATGATGCATATGGATAATTACCTGTGACTCCTGTGACTTGAAGTTTGACGTTCAGTCCTTCCAGCTCCAGCATACGAAGAGTCATGTAATCTCTCTCATAAACTCTTGTTCAATGAATGGAAAGTCAAGCCAGTTACTCTAACACTTCCAACTCCAGGTATCAGTCGGGGAGATGGAAATGGAGTCTCGACTCTGAAGATTGGTACCGTTGGATACGCAGTTGGAATATTCCTCGTTCAAAGATCATCAGAACGGAGGCCTCATCTTTTTATCGAAAAAAAGCATTGGAGGCTGTGTACTTGTGTTAGGGTGAGCATGAAGAAACAGCTAAGGGCTCCTTTGGATGCGCTGATCCCCGCGGGGATACCCGTTTAATCTGCGGGTGGAGAAAAGCGCGCGGCGCTGCTCCTCGCTCTGATCCGCGGCACCGTTTGGAAAGGTGGTGGGTCAAAATAAGCTCGTGACTTTTTCACCCTAACCCCGTCGATCCACGGGGGCTAGAATAAAGAGACTTTTCCCTGTATGCAATTATAAAAGATTGTAATCTTTTGTGTCTCTAAAAAATTCAGCGGTTTTCAGCGTCATTACTCCAACTTTTTCGGGTCCTCCATGCCACTTCCGTCACTTCAGGCTCTAACGCCGTCAAACTGCAGGTGTGAAAAGACGAAAATGCCCTTAAGTTCAAATATGTTATTAATTTTTTTGAGCATCTTATTTTCACTTAATTCCGCAAAAAATCAAAATTAGATATGATTAATATATCTTAGAAAATCATAATTTTTTATAAAATTTAATTTCATTTAATTTTATATAAAAATATAGATTTGATATGATTAATATATCTTAGAAGTTCATCAATTTTTTTCATTTGAAGTCGCTAAGATGCTAAAAAAATTAATAACATATTTGAACTTATGGGCATTTTTGTCTTTTTCACACTGGCAGCTTGACGGCAAGTAGAGCCTCTAACTAACTAAGTGGTGGCATGGAGGACCCGAAAAAGTTGGAGTAGTGACGCTGAAGACCGCTTAAATTTTTCCAAGGGCACACAAATGATTATGATCTTTTATAATGGCACACAGGGAAAAGTCTCCAGAATAAATGCCTCCGGAGTCGTGTCGTTTCTTTCCCGTCGCTTGCGGCTCGCTCGTCTCGTTCGCTCGTGACTCCTCCCGTGGCTAGGGTTTGAGCGCCGCTGTCACCATCCCTTCCTTGCACCAGCCATCATCGGTCCCAGCGCCGCGTCGCGCCGCCGCCGCCGCCACTCCTGATCCTACTCCGACTTTGATCCAGGCGCACTTCGTGGATCGGTGCTGCTCTTGTCGCGCCGCCCGCCGCCTGTACCTGCTACCCCAGCCAGCTTCGTCGTGCGTGGTCTCCTAAGCATAGGTTGGGCGCCTCATCCTCGTCCTCTTTTGTGTGTTTTCTCCTTAGATTTGCTAGTCTTCAGTCTTCGAATCAAATCGAATGGATGGATGATCTGGGCGGTGGTTCTTGGGCATGGCATTCGTACAAAGTATGGCGTTTCACATTTGTATAAGGTATTGGGTGGTGGTTCTTGTTAGATTGATCTCCACCAAGTTGGCCTAACGGTCAATTTGGGCCTTTGATTCGTGCTCTGATCGGGGGCGTCCAACACAATCATGGTTGGTGGGCCACCGTCTCTCAACTCTATAAAGAGAAAGGTGGGGGCCGGGGCACTCGGTACGAGGTTCACCGCAGCCGCTGTTTTCCCACCTACATTCCAAACCCTAACCGATCAAGGGAGCGCTGTGAGCGACGAGAAGCGCCACTGCCTTCGCCGTCGCCACTGGACCACGCCGCCGCTGGGATCGCGACTGCCTCCTCGACTCCGACATACCTGGCGTCCTCTTCGACTCCATTGTCATGGCCTCTTCCTCCGCCAAGCCCACGGATGGTCAACCACTTCTAATCCCCCTCTCTCTCTCTAGTTTATCCTCCTAGTTCATGTTCTAGGGCTTTTTATCCCACATAGAATTGTTATCACCCGCTAGATCTGCTCCTAATGATCCTATGTTTCTATCAGTTCTTTAATTCAGTAGCTCTAGTAGTAGTTAAGCTGATTTGCTTCCTTCACATATGTTTGCTGCAGCGACAGGTTGTTAAAGTGAGCTGAGATTTTCTTTTTTAGCTGAACAGTAGGTTGGCTTTGAATGCATAGATTAAAATATCATGAGTTTTGCTGAGCTTATAGTTTTCTCTTTCTAGTCTCTGATTCTGTCTTGTAGCTATGGCAATCAATAGTTCGTAAATGGTATGTTCCTGTCAGATTATATATTGATAGATAAATTGGTTGGTTCATAAGTGACATATGAATCTGCTGAAAAAATATGAATGCATCGAGTTTCCACTCTCTAGTAAGCATGGATCAGTGTGACGATTAAACTGAAGAGCGTCTTGCATTGGATAGAATCGGTGGATTTCTCTCATAGCTTAAAAAGAATGCCACATCAGGTCAACATATAGCTTTTTTAGGTGCTTGGAATCTCCTAAGCTAGCTGTGTTTTCTATTGTTAGTTGATCTCCACCAATAGGCCCAACGGTCTATTGGGCCCTTATCTCTGCTCCCTGATCGGAGGAGCCCAACCCTAATCCGGTTGGTGGGCCCCTGTCGCACAGCACACATAAAAGAAAGGTGGGGGTGAGGGCTCGAATGAGGAGGTTCAACGGAGCCACCACCCACCTACAGAGAAACCCTAATCCGATCCTAAAGCGTGCTGCCAGCGACGGGATGAGCCCGCCATCACCACCGCCGTCGCCTATGCAGGGACACCGCCGGCACCACTGGATTGGGTCTCCGCCGCCACCACTGTACCTCGCCATCGAGTTGGAGCTGCCTCGGCACTGGCGTCCGCGAGGCTACATCCAGGGCGGCATCGGCGTCCACGCTGCCGCTGCGGTGAAGCTCCACAAGGTCGAGGAGCCTAACTACGGATCTACGGTTTACACACAGAGGTACCAATCCTACGATCCTAACAATGGTACCAGAGCCAGGTTACAAGTGTGTAACCCTAACCCTAACCGGGTAAAAGAAGAAAGAAAATCCACCGCCACCGCGCGGGGGGAAAGATGGCCGCACCGCTGTTCTACACCGGCGCACGGCAAGAACAGAAAAGAACCGAACACTCCCTAACCCTAACCCTAATTGGGTTAAAGGAAGGGGGAAAAGAAAGGTTTCGGCCTTAAGACGAACAGAGCCGAACCATAAATCCAAAAGAGAAAAGAAATAAAAGAAAAGAAAGAAAAATCCAAAGAAAGAAGAAAAGAAGGGTCGGAACCCTAACCCTAACCCTAGTTTCCTATTCGGATGAAAGCAAAAGAAAAGAAAGAAAAGACAAAACAGAAAAGATGACAGGTCGGATTCCGAACCCTAGATCTATAACCAGTTCGGAAAAGAGGAACAAGATTCAAATCCGAAAGGGGAAGGGGAAAAGAACAGGGTCGGCACACGAACCCTAACCCTAACCCTATTCCCCACATCAGTTCGGATGAGAGAAGAACCAAATCGAAAAGAAATAGGGGAATGAGAAAGGGAAGGGAGAAGAAACCCACCCGAATCGGCCCTTTGCCGGCGCGAGAGAAGAAGAGCCAAGCCGGCCCTTCGCCGGCGCGGGAGAAGAAGAGCGAGGCCAAAAGGGGGCCGCGGCCAAAGCCGCTTCACGCGGCGGCGCGCTCACCATTGGGGCGCCTGCACGCCGGCCGGGAGGGGCATGGCGGCGCCATGGATGCCCTTCTCGCCGCTTTCCTTTCGGTTCGCTTCGCCTCGGCTTGTGTGTGAGGTAGAGAGAGAGAGAGCGGCGAAGAGAGAGAAAGCAAGCGACAAAATGAGCTAGGGTTCTGGACTCACACCCAGCATGCGACGGTCATTATACTGCCCCGACCTCGCCTTCGGCCGTGGGATGCAGATGACGGCAGCAGATTCACTCAACTGGCGACTTCAAAGGTGGTCTTGCCACACAGTCAATTCTCCTACCCGAGCCCAGTGTTGCGGCTTTGGGCGCTGGAGAAGCAGCGAAGCGCCCACGAGCGTGGGCGTGATGGGCCGCCTTGTCGTTTTTAAATGAAAAGAGCAAAGATGAAAAAGAATGAGTTTTTCCTTTTTTTTCTATTTCCAGCAAATATTTATTTCTGGAAAATGAAAAATAGCTCAAAAAGAGAAATAGAAAAAGTATTTTTTCCCTGTGGGAAAATTCAAGAAATTGAGAATATTTTTTCACTGTTAAAGAAAAAGTATATTCTCCAGTGTTTTTGAACCGACATGATATTTAACTGGAGAAAAGGAAGGTTTTTCCAGTAAATATTTATTTCCTAAAAATTGATTAATGGATTAAAGAAAATAGAAAAAGCAATTTTCCCTGTGGGTAAAATTCAAGAAAAAGAGAGTTTTTCCACAGCCAAAGAAAAGTTGTTTATAGTCCAGTTATTTTGAACCAATGTGGTATTTAATTGGAGAAAAAGAGATTTTTTCCGCTGCTAAAGAAAATGTTGATTCTCTAGTTATTTTGAACCAATGTGGTATTTAATTGGAGAAAAAGAGTTTTGACATGATTATGATGTTGTTATTTTCTGACTAACGTTGTTAATAACAATATCATAATGCTAATGATTTATGCATTAATTCTACTTCTGCCCAA